ACTGCTTTTATCACAATGGATGGGCTTTATGAATTTGACGTTATGCCTTTCGGTTTGACTAATGCTCCTGCCACCTTTCAAAGATGCATGGACGTGGTCTTATCCGGTCTTAAGTACAACTCTTGTCTAGTATACCTTGATGATATACTAATATTCAATAAGACATTTGAAGAACATCTTATTAGCATTAAACTTGTTCTCGATCGGATAATTGGAGCAGGTCTGAAATTAAACCCTAACAAAAGTGTATTCGCCTTGCCTGAAGTAACTTATCTTGGGTTCAAGATAACTAAGGAAGGTCAATCCCCAGAGGAATCAAAATTGGAAGCCGTTAAAAAGATAAAAGTCCCAAATTGTGTCCGAGATGTAAAATCTTTCGTGGCCTTCTGTAGCTACTACCGAAAATTCATCAACGGATTCTCCACCATTGCAAAACCACTAACCAAACTAACAAAGCAAGACGCGATTTTTGAATGGAATGAAGAACAACAAACGGCCTTTGAAAAGCTAAGGGATTCATTGATCAATGCCCCAGTCTTAGCTCACTACCAAAGTGATTTACCAATTGAAGTCAGGACAGATGCATCTGGAGTTGGTGTTGGAGCAGTCTTGTTACAACAACATGGTGCAAATTGGCGACCAGTAGCGTACGCAAGTAGGCAACTGAACTCTCATGAAAGCAATTATACCATTTCGGAACTAGAATGTCTCGCCATCATTTATGCCCTAGACAAATTCAAAATTTACCTGGAGACTAAACCTTTTCGTGTTGTTACGGATCATTCAGCACTAACTTTCCTCCAGAGTAAGAAGAATCTGCCTCGAAGATTAGCAAAATGGGCGATAATTTTACAAGAATTTGATCCTCAAATCGAATACAAAAGTGGTAAACATCATTCAGATGCAGATTTCCTGAGCAGATATCCTGTTGGCGAGCCAGAAGATACCCATGCTACAGAAGACCGAATTCATGTTTTTACAACTCATGTCGAATTGAATTTAGCTAGTTTTAAACTAGGACAGGACGATGACCCCTTCTGCTCATCTATGATAGTAACTCTTGGAAACCTGAGTGACTTATCTAATAAGAAAAGAAAAAAGGCCGAAAAGTTCCTGGTCAAGAATGGGTTGCTTTATCGCAAGGTTTATCGTCTCGGTAAAATTGAAAATCTTTTGGTTGTACCTAAGAAGCTGAGAAAGGATGTATGCTACATTCATCATGATGCCCTATCGTCAGCACACCAAGGAATTGGCAAAACATATGAAAAGATCCGTGAGAAATACTACTGGCCTGGTATGTCTGTGTACATTAACAAATATGTGGCTTCTTGTTTCCTTTGTCAAACAAGAAAAACTCCGCATGAATTAGAGGCTGGGAAATTAAATCCAATCGTGTCCAATTATCCATTTGAACGAGTACACATTGATATCCTTGGTCCAATGAATAAAGCTCATGGCAAAATGTACATCATCGTTGCGATAGATGCTTTCACTAAATTCATGGAAACAGCAGCAATCTCTTCTACATCTTCACAAAATACTGCAAAGTTTATCAAAAACCAAATTTTCTGTAGGCATGGTGCTCCAAACATTCTTGTCTCAGACAATGGAACAAACTTTACTAGCCATTTGATTCGTGATCTGACAAACAAGTATGGAATCAAACAACTGTTTACGACACCATACCATCCACAAGCAAATGGACAAGTTGAAAGGGTAAATGCACAAATAGCAGCAATGCTCTCAATGTACGTGAATAAATATCACAATGATTGGGATGAATTCTTACCAGAGATTACGTTTGCTTATAATACATCGTACCATTCGAGTTTGAAGATGTCTCCGTTTGAATTGGTGTACGGAAGAAAAGCCATTACACCAAATGAACAAAACGTACCGCTGGATGTCACTCGTTATACTGAACAACAGTACGCTAACTTTATTAACGATGATTGGCCAAAACTGCGTGAGTTTGTGAAAAATAACATGGATGAAGCCAGGTCAAGAAATGAAAGTGATTATAACAAATCACATTCGGATAATGAGTTTGAAATTGGTGACACTGTCTTAGTCTACTACCCTAACCCAGGTACTACTGGGCTAACTAAGAAGTTACTTCATAAGTATCATGGCCCTTTTGTAGTGGTTGAAAAGGCCTCACCTTTAGTTTACAAAGTGAAAGAGATCGGAGTTAATAAAGAACCAATGGTTGTCAACATTCAAAGATTGAAAAGATTTAAAGGAAGATACTCCCTCGACGAAGTTGAGTCACCAACCATATCAGTTACACCACGAGTAGACGTGCTCAGGAATGAAGGAGATTCAAAGTTGACTAATCAGAGTAACGAACCTAGGACCACAGTTGAAAGCTCAAGTTCGAGTCAGACTCCAAGTTGGCATGACACGACCGATGTTTTCGTTTTCTCTCCTCTGAAAGGAAAAACTACCACCAGTACACCCATTGTAAAAGGATTAGAAGTAGAGCGAGACAGGACATTCACAGTAACCAATCCGAAACGATTAACATTTGGACAACTTGACACGCAAAATAGCTCAAGAGGGTCGTCTTCACCTAGCATAGACACTACAGATGAAGATACAACTCTACCAGACTCCGATTTCTCCCCTGGAAAGTTATGTGCCTGTGGAAAGATGAAAGTGAGAACCGGAGAATCGATTGACTCAAACTCAGGTGAAGAATCTAAACATGTCCATTTTGACGAAAATGTTCAAATTTTTGGAGATGAATCAGAAAGAGAAAAGAGTCAATCCACTGATGAAGATCGTACTTATGAACCAGAAAAGACTACTGCCAGGCAATACGAGACCGAACCTAGAGTCACAAGGGCGAAATCAAAGGCATTATCAGGAGTTGTATTGACATTAATGGTTTTATTCGTTGGGCCCTCAGTTGCTGAATTCAATGTAATGAATCCTTTACTATGGCGCGAGGCAAGTAAGACAGTTGTAAAAGCTGAAGGAGTAATCGACACTATCATCGAGTTCAAAAATACGTGTCCAGAATTGGCAGAAGCTCTATTGTTACCCCAATCTCAAAGAGACAAGTTTAAAAGTTGGTGTGAATTTGAATTTAGAACCATTCTAGAGGAAATAAACCAACATTGTCCACCGATATCATCCAGAAAAACGCGTACCCCAGTATTGGCTGTCCTGTCCGCCGTAGTTTTTACTGGCATTCTTACATATGGAGCCATAAGAACACATTTGGACCGTGTTGCACAAATTGAGGAACAAGTAAGACAACAATATCAGATACAATTACAACAAAGTATGGAAACATCAAGAATCAAAGAGAGGTTAAATGATGTTATTAGGAGGCTCAATGACAACACCGAACGACTTGATGCTATTGAAAATAATCTACTCACAAATATCCTTATCTCAACTGGTATTGCTGACAAATTTTCGATGCTGAAAGCACAGTTGACTGACATTTTCCATGCCATGAAACAAAGAAAAGTCAGTAGTCAAATCGCTGCTCTAACTAACCTCTCTTCAACAGACCAATTGAGATACCCGATAGACCTAATGACAATGATCAACTGCCGGTCAGATGAGAATAAACTTTGGTTCAAGATTCACGGGTTTCGTAAGAGTACAAATTACTCTTTAGCTGAACCAGATCCGTTCCTGATGAGGACTGATGAGGACGATTGTGTTTATTACATTGGACCAAAGTTTATCTTGATGAACACAGAAAGCAAACAGATTTGCCAAATTCAAAGTAGGGCAACTCAACATGGTCCTCTAATAGTAAGTAGTCAATTTACCTGCAAGAATAAGACTATCAAGCCCAACACTCTTTGGGAAAAGAGACAATGTGCACCTGGTGACTCAAGGAATGTACAAGTGAAGTCGACATCAACAAATAGACTCGTTTATTGTTTTGGACACCAGATAAAGGTTGCAGATAAAGTATTTCCCTGTCCAAATTGGGTATTCTCATTCCCTATTAATGTACCTTTAATAATAGATGGAGAAGTATATGAGTATTTTTCTATTTATCACCGATACAACCTCAAACTTCAAGGAACGGACTTTGCTGCAATAAATGTATATCTATCCGCTGGCCAAAGCCATTCGGAATTACTGAAGGAATTGGAAGACTCTAACACGACAGTTATCTTAGGAACCATCTACGCTAATCCTCTTGTCAGTATAACTCTTCTGCTAGCAACATTTCTTATTATCAGCCTCTTCATTTATATCCTTTGCCGTTTCAAATCTGTTCGCTCAAAGCTCTGTTGCAAAAAACTTACTGACCAGAAAAACGCCAGACAACAAAAACAAGATGAAAAAGAAGAAATTCCCTTAACAGAAATACATCCTCAAACAAAAAATGAACAAAAAGAAGAAAAAGAAGAAATGGATCCCGAAATCAAAAGATTACAAAACTTAACCTGGAATCATTGAAAAATTAGCTTGGACACAGTTTTTTTCATTTTTCATCATTATTTTATTTGATTATTCAATTTAAGCATAGCGTAAACATAACACTAACAGTTAGCAGTTGTACATCATTCGATGTCATCGAGTTGGAAATCAGCAGGCCAGACACCCATCAAATACCACGGATCATCCAATCGGACAAAGCAGTTGTCATAGACTTGAACACCTTTCATAGCGCCAAGATACTGTACCACTCGCCCGAAAGAAATGTTCGAATAAGGAAAATTGAAGCCAGTCAAGTGCCGGTAGATCCGCATCAGCCGTCCTATTGAGAGCTGCCTCTTTTGCCGGTCAAAATGGTCAATTAACTCCAGAATGAGCTTTCTTTCTGTAAAGAAAAGAAAAGGAAAAAATACAGAGAAAAGATAATTAGCTTAATCAGAAAACATAACTGTGAATAATGGAAACTTACCATGAACACCGAAATTTCTCGCATTCATCCTGAGAATAAGAAGTACAAAGATAAATCAAAAGAAAAAATCAGTAAAATTAGTTGAAGATAGATAATAGATGAAGTGTTAACAGATTAATGATAACTTAACCAGAATCTCTTTAGTTTTATACGTTAACCATATACTCACTCATTTCCATTTGTGGAATTCATTTCCGCAAACAATTTCTCAGGAAAAATTTTAATAGTAACAAGAAACATTAGTGACAGGATACATTATGCCCAAATAAGAAAACATCAATTAATAATGAAAAGAGGAAATAGAGAAAGTTAAAGATAAAAAAATAGGAAAATAAGTGAAAAAACAGTATAAAGAGAAAAGGGCAGAAAAGGGCTAAAAAGGGTCAGGTTGAATAGGTGTGATAATCAGTTATAGAATGAACCATGCTTAATAACATGGTCAAAAGAAAAGTTTCGAAAAGTGATCTGCGGAGGTCTGCGCTCCGCTAGAATGGGACAATACAAAAAAAAACAAATTTTGGGAAAAATGCAAAGAGTGAAAAGGGAATACAGAAGAAATTAAAAATCATTTTCTGGGCTCTAAGGCACATGCTTGTGTTGGCCTTGCCTCTGGTTCGTATGCTGCACGAACACCAGGTAAAGGGCGACAGGAGGGAGTGCGATAGTCAACCATATGTTTGATCCATTGCGTTCTCCTTTCAAGTGGGACTCTGTCATCGGTGCAACTCAATGTTTCAATTCCATCATATGTAATTTTGGCCCAAGGGAAAATTCTTGGATAGATGCTGAGCCCTATTTTCAACTTATTCTCTATTTCATCTAAGTCTAATCTTTCAACACACTGGACTCGCCAATAACGGTTTTTATGCTTCACACCGACGACATGTTCTTTCAGCTCTACGAGATTTTCATATTCACCACCGCAATAAACACATTCAAACATACACCTATTCTTTTCCTTATTTTTCGCAATTTCCGCAAGCTGTTTTTCAAGCGTTTTGCCAGCATCATGTAATTTTTTTCTACTAACTCGCTGTCCTGGTTTAAACTGTTTCAAATTTTGCACACGCTCAGGTGTGACAATCGTCTTCTCCCACTCCATCAAAATTTCCAGACCTTTTCCATCATTTTCCATACACCAGTACTTAGTTTGGCAAGGCCAAGGTGACACACATGTATCAGGCATCAAAGTAGTTTGAACGGATGGACCGGGTTCTTCTTCTACCTCTTCAGCAATTACAAGCGAACCATGTCCAATTTCTTCTTGTTCTTCATCATTCTGTTGACCTTGTTGCTGTTGACCGTCTACCTGCTCCGAATTTGTATCCGAGGAATTTTGTTGGCCATCTGGATTAGCGCCAGAGGAGGGAACAACAGGAATTGCATCAACTGGAAAAGAAAAAAAAAAGAAAGAAGTTTTTTCGTTAAACAAAGACAATCAAATCTTCAAGAATTATAGTTAGTTTTACCTTGAGGAAGTAGAGCAAGACACAGGAAAGCCAAAAAGGATAAAAATAAACCAAACATGATTTTCGTTGATTCAAAGTTGACGCCAAGAAAAGAATAGTGTGGTTGCAAGCCAACAGATAGCACCGCTTCTGAACAAAAAAACTTGCAGAGGGAGCTTTTGAGGGAGCTATGGAAGAAATCAAAAACCTGTTTGACAAAGAGAGACAATAAATTAGAGCACAGTGGTAGCAGTTGCAACCTACCTAAAGGCCACACCGGAATCTCCTCTTCTTCCCCTTTATTTTCTTACCTTTTGGGTGATTCCAGCTAGTAAATAAGGCACAATGTAAATTAAAAAACTGAATTGCTGCAAATTTCACAGGACTAACAGGAGAACTTTTACTTAACTGACCAACCAGCTGTTTTTCCATCAACACCCTCTATTTCTGAATCAACACACAGCGCGTAAATCGAATGCAATTCCTATGCAAAAACTTCAAATCCCATTCTGTTGACCTTATTCGTAATCGGAGGACCGATTCTTGATTTAAAAGTGGGGTGATGTGACGAAAATTGTATCCTCCTTCTCAGTTACTCAATCCCTCAGATCTTCCGTTCTCATCATTCTCTACTCCATATTTGAAGCATCCTGTCATTTATAATTATGTCTAACCTTTCATGGTGTCAACCTTAAAAGGATTGATTCCAGAATGTAGCACTTATTATTACTTAGTATATAAGCATAATGAAGAGAGAGCCTCATTATGAACTAGAATATCTAGGTTACGCTACCAACTAAACCCCATGTTCCCTTTATTATAACCTTAACTTTATTTGTAACCTTATCGTAATCCTCACATTAAAACTTATACGTTATTAGAAATTGTTTCGCTTTCTTTCATAAAGTGGTTTATCATTACGGTTCGTTCCTGATTTAACACAGTCATCTTTTCTTGTTACAATATGTAATATTCAAAAATTAAGTGTTCAAATTGCGAAAAAGAAATGGTCCAAATTATTCTCCTCTTTCTTTATTCTGTCTATTCCCCTGTCTTATTTCTCATTCTTAACAATGGTCAGAAGGGCAAAACAAATACTTTGTTTTAACAAAAGGATTATTGAGGGGAGTTGAAATGATGACTCCAATGTGGTAACTTGAAAATGTCTGGAACTAGTGCTTCGTCAATTGGACGTAGTATTTATTTAATTATTAGTTTAACTAAATTTTAGTTAATTTAAATGGAAATTATTGTCCACCAAATGGTTATTATTAATAAATGTTATTAAATGGCCTTAAAATATTACATATATTTATCAAGTAGTTCCATGAATTGATCCATTGGTCTGACAGTATTCCTTGATGAATAGTAAGCAATTAAATTGGATTTGCCGGTTCGATAAACAATATCGAATTAATACTATTCGAGTTGACATTTTGGTACTTTTATTGTTTGACCTGTATTTTCTAAAGCTTATAAAACATTCTCAGTTCGTACTAGTAATTCATCGAAGGATTGAGCGAGAAAAACAGTCTGAAAAGAAATTGGATTTTGACCGTAAAATTTATTTTTATTCTCACCAAAGGAAACTAAATTCAACATACAAAATATGACTTATTTATAAGTTCTTAGACAATGTGTCAAATAACAGCAAATTAAGTTGGTGGAAGAATAATTGATTGGTATTATCTGATCAGGTTTTATTTTCTTTTATTGTAATCATAAAAAATTAAAATCTATTTACTATTATGTCTGATCTGATTTGTAAACTCTAAATTGTTAAAATATTTTTCCTTAAAATTTTGCATATCTGTCATATCGCAGATTTGTTACGCTCTTGAAAGGTTGACTCATTTTCAGCTCAGACAGCTTAGTTTAATCCATTGATCAAGAAACGATCTTTGCATGTCACTCACGTGTCAAATGACCGCGAAAACGAGCCCATTATCAGTTGGTTAATACTGAAACAGTTCACCGAAATAAACGAGTTTTATTGAAATATTGGAATGACAAATTAATGTTTAGTAATCAAATAAAATCCACTAATTAAAGTGATGATAATGATATATTCCATATTTTCCAAATAAAACAATAGCCGCATGACTCTTTAATTCTATTTTTACCAAGTAATATGAATGACTTAGACAAACATTAATTAATTTAATCAGGCTTTTTTTATTTCAAGGTTTTACATTTTATTGAATAGAACAAATTAAATTGTTGGACATCAAAGAATAGCAAAGTTTTTCCCCAGAATAAAGTCAAAACATATAGAATCATATGTAGATATCTTTATCCATTTCTTCCGTTTTTTAAATCCTCTCGTCTTCTAGGTGCCCGTGGCGATCCCTCAACCTGGCCAAAGAAAGCAACGAAAGAAATAAAGAAACAGAGGTAAACAATTTCTGTTAAACGCATTTTCACTTGATTTTTTATATTTTATAGTGAGTTGAAAAACAAGTTAAAACTTTGTGAGCTTTTAAAATCAACTGATATCTTTTTAAAATTAATTACAATTTCTTTTTATACTCTTATTCTCATTATCAATTTAAATGTGAATCTGATTAAATAAAATCATCATTTTATACCAGAGCAAACAATCATCATTCCATCAAAGTTATTAGCCTCATTTGAATTTGACTAACTCAGCAAACAAAAAAATGTTGTATATTTGCTCAATTTCAACAGTTTTTTATGATGAAATGATGTTACTCATTACGATTAAATGGGCATGTGAAACAAATAATTTGATCTTTTGACATTTAAACATTGTTGTTAATGTAACAAAATAGCAAAATTACCTTTAATTCTTGTAACTTAATAAAATAATGATTTCTTGAATCAATTTTCTTGGAACACATAGCGTAAGCGTAGGTCCTATTTCTCTTTTTATCAGTTCATACAAGACTGAATCTATCAAAAAAAAATTGTGTACACTCGATATTTTGAAAATCCTCAGGTGATTCTAAAGCACAGATAAACTTATAAAAAATGGGGTCTGAACGTTGTTTGTGAGAAATATTTATATCGATAGTTAGTAAATTTATACTATATGTAATATTCAAAAATTAAGTGTTCAAATTGCGAAAAAGAAATGGTCCAAATTATTCTCCTCTTTCTTTATTCTGTCTATTCCCCTGTCTTATTTCTCATTCTTAACAATGGTCAGAAGCGCAAAACAAATACTTTGTTTTAACAAAAGGATTATTGAGGGGAGTTGAAATGATGACTCCAATGTGGTAACTTGAAAATGTCTGGAACTAGTGCTTCGTCAATTGGACGTAGTATTTATTTAATTATTAGTTTAACTAAATTTTAGTTAATTTAAATGGAAATTATTGTCCACCAAATGGTTATTATTAATAAATGTTATTAAATGGCCTTAAAATATTACATATATTTATCAAGTAGTTCCATGAATTGATCCATTGGTCTGACAGTATTCCTTGATGAATAGTAAGCAATTAAATTGGATTTGCCGGTTCGATAAACAATATCGAATTAATACTATTCGAGTTGACATTTTGGTACTTTTATTGTTTGACCTGTATTTTCTAAAGCTTATAAAACATTCTCAGTTCGTACTAGTAATTCATCGAAGGATTGAGCGAGAAAAACAGTCTGAAAAGAAATTGGATTTTGACCGTAAAATTTATTTTTATTCTCACCAAAGGAAACTAAATTCAACATACAAAATATGACTTATTTATAAGTTCTTAGACAATGTGTCAAATAACAGCAAATTAAGTTGGTGGAAGAATAATTGATTGGTATTATCTGATCAGGTTTTATTTTCTTTTATTGTAATCATAAAAAATTAAAATCTATTTACTATTATGTCTGATCTGATTTGTAAACTCTAAATTGTTAAAATATTTTTCCTTAAAATTTTGCATATCTGTCATATCGCAGATTTGTTACGCTCTTGAAAGGTTGACTCATTTTCAGCTCAGACAGCTTAGTTTAATCCATTGATCAAGAAACGATCTTTGCATGTCACTCACGTGTCAAATGACCGCGAAAACGAGCCCATTATCAGTTGGTTAATACTGAAACAGTTCACCGAAATAAACGAGTTTTATTGAAATATTGGAATGACAAATTAATGTTTAGTAATCAAATAAAATCCACTAATTAAAGTGATGATAATGATATATTCCATATTTTCCAAATAAAACAATAGCCGCATGACTCTTTAATTCTATTTTTACCAAGTAATATGAATGACTTAGACAAACATTAATTAATTTAATCAGGCTTTTTTTATTTCAAGGTTTTACATTTTATTGAATAGAACAAATTAAATTGTTGGACATCAAAGAATAGCAAAGTTTTTCCCCAGAATAAAGTCAAAACATATAGAATCATATGTAGATATCTTTATCCATTTCTTCCGTTTTTTAAATCCTCTCGTCTTCTAGGTGCCCGTGGCGATCCCTCAACCTGGCCAAAGAAAGCAACGAAAGAAATAAAGAAACAGAGGTAAACAATTTCTGTTAAACGCATTTTCACTTGATTTTTTATATTTTATAGTGAGTTGAAAAACAAGTTAAAACTTTGTGAGCTTTTAAAATCAACTGATATCTTTTTAAAATTAATTACAATTTCTTTTTATACTCTTATTCTCATTATCAATTTAAATGTGAATCTGATTAAATAAAATCATCATTTTATACCAGAGCAAACAATCATCATTCCATCAAAGTTATTAGCCTCATTTGAATTTGACTAACTCAGCAAACAAAAAAATGTTGTATATTTGCTCAATTTCAACAGTTTTTTATGATGAAATGATGTTACTCATTACGATTAAATGGGCATGTGAAACAAATAATTTGATCTTTTGACATTTAAACATTGTTGTTAATGTAACAAAATAGCAAAATTACCTTTAATTCTTGTAACTTAATAAAATAATGATTTCTTGAATCAATTTTCTTGGAACACATAGCGTAAGCGTAGGTCCTATTTCTCTTTTTATCAGTTCATACAAGACTGAATCTATCAAAAAAAAATTGTGTACACTCGATATTTTGAAAATCCTCAGGTGATTCTAAAGCACAGATAAACTTATAAAAAATGGGGTCTGAACGTTGTTTGTGAGAAATATTTATATCGATAGTTAGTAAATTTATACTATATGTAATATTCAAAAATTAAGTGTTCAAATTGCGAAAAAGAAATGGTCCAAATAATTCTCCTCTTTCTTTATTCTATCTATTCCCCTGTCTTATTTCTCATTCTTAACAATGGTCAGAAGGGCAAAACAAATACTTTGTTTTAACAAAAGGATTATTGAGGGGAGTTGAAATGATGACTCCAATGTGGTAACTTGAAAATGTCTGGAACTAGTGCTTCGTCAATTGGACGTAGTATTTATTTAATTATTAGTTTAACTAAATTTTAGTTAATTTAAATGGAAATTATTGTCCACCAAATGGTTA